CCCCACACTCTCCATCCTCTGCAGACAGGAAAGAAGCCTTGTGTGCCAAATGACTGTAGCCTATGCTTTCCTTCTTAGCCTACCAATTTTTGCTTGGGAATGCAAAGAGAAAATGCTGCAGTGAAATACACACAACACATATACATACACACATGCATCCATATGTGCACACAAAGATACTAACATACATATACACCAACACACACATAAACACAAATACATACCAACTCACACACATATACACACAAGTAAGCACCAACACAAGCACATAAACACAAGAATGCACACAAACACACATCGACACCAACACATGCACATATACACACAAATGTATACAGACACACAAGCACACGTGCACACACAAATATACAGCAACACAGATACACACAGAAGCACACACAGAAACACGCACACACAAACACATACATCTACACCAACAATCCAAAGACTCTTTTCTGCCAAAATAGCCATTTGGAATGTGGGGCTTCATGGAACATTTAACTTGAAGCCACCCATTTCTTAGTGATAGAGGTGTCAGGAAAGCATGTCTGCACCTGTTGCAAAGTCTCACTTACTGCTGGACACAGACCCAGACACACACATATAGAATCTCATCCCAATTTTATCATATGTACTCACGAATAAAATGCGTGTGTGTGTGTATATTAAGTATCACCCAAGTTTAGCATATGTCCCAATCAAGCAGCCAGCATCAGACATAGACACAGCACATTTCAAGTACTAAGAGGTCATGCAGCAAAGCCCTGCTTCCTACTCCTCAGCCCCGGCAGTGAGTGCTTAGGACACCTATGTCCTACCACACCAAAGTTTGAGTGACAAAGCTCCAGTGACAAGTTGCTTACTAATCTGCAGAGGGAACCTAGATTTGTTTAACGAAAGTCTTCCAAAAATAAAATCGGTTACCCCTGCAGCCCTTTTGCCTTTACAGGCTAATGCCTTCCTTTGGAGTAGCTCAGAACAAGGGATGTGCTTTCCCACATAGAAACTTAAACTTCTGGTATTGGTTCCCAGCAGGGCCTCAGAAATGATTTCTTCCCTGTGTGTTCCTGAGGTTCATTTTCACAGTCAGTGCTGCCCTCCCTGTATTGCACCACTCCACCTTGCTCATCAGGCGAGCGAAAGTTGCTGGGAGGCTGGGCCACTATGGGTCCACTGCAGTGCCATCATTCTGCTTGCCAGAGGCCATTTGAGGCAGCAGGTAAGTAAGCAGTTACAGAGGCACATTGGGTTTCTGAGAGGTACCAGCCTGGCTAAGGCAGAAATAAGCTCTAACTTAATAACCTGCTCATCACACACAGTAAGAGACACCCTGACTTATTCAAAGACACCGTGGGTGGTGCAGAGGATGAATAAGCATGATTCACTGCCACTTTGGCACCCGGGGCACGACGAATAATAAAACCCAAAGAATTGTAGCCGCCTGAGTAGTAAATTAAGAGATCCAGGGCTCAGCTAGACTCTAGACATCAATGTTACCATGGCAATAAAGGGCCCCAGCGTTCAGCAGCTATTACAGAGCAGGCATCTATCAGGCTAGTCTATGTCACAGCCAAAACCCAAGGGGCTAGCAAAGAAGACAAATTAGCATATCCATTCATTATGGACCTCTGCACACTTCTTCTCTTAATTCCAATTAGTTGTTTGTTTGAACCAACATCTCTTGTCTGTATTATACTCATTAGTGCCTTTTAGCCAGTAGAAATAGGGTTGAATTTCCACAAGGACTTCACAATTTCCCAAGCCTTCATTTTTTCCCCTGGGGGTCTAGTCTTATGTACTCACAACCCATGGCCTTCAGTCCCTCGAAATGAAGGCGTTTCTTACTTTACAACTGTACTCGACAGATGGAAACTGCTTTGGAATGTGATGTGCTAAGGGATTTTCCTGGAACCCAGTGAAATAGGGATCTGGGACCGTAATCTGGACCATTTAGGTCAAGGAAACCCTCTGATCTTAGCCAGTGAGCCTGCTGGCTTTGCCTACTGGCCATTACTCAGAGGCTAGCTGTTCAGGAGGGGGGGGGGGACATTGGACACCAGGAACCAGGCTGACACCATCAAAGTCAGGCTGTAACTATTCCAGTCTGAACTACTGCCCTTCAAGGTCTGGCCTGATGCCTGTTTATTCTGGAAACCCTCCCTTGATCATCAAAGTCCCAAGTGAAATCTCCATCTTCCATTCACCTCAAGAAAGACCCTTTGTTAGGAAGCATTTATGGGCAGCCTCAGACCACAATTTGCCTGATCACTTCCTTGCTCAAGTGACTTGTCCAGTGAGACCAGAGGTGACTAATGCTGAGGGACAGGGATCCTCCACAGTGCCTGGGTGACTCCAATACAAGCAACTCTTAAGCTCCACTACCTTACTCTCACCCTACTCCTCACCCCTGGTGTGCCAATCTAGCTACTCCCTGCATCGGGAAAGTTCCCAGCTGACCTTTGATGACTGACATAGACTGCACACACACACACACACACACACACACACACACACACACACACACACACACAAACACCTATATGGAAACGGTCCTCGAGAACAGATGTGAGGAATTAGCCTATGCCACATGGTAATGTCAAAAATTCTCTAAAGTGCTCTATTAGGGACAGAACACCAGAACAGCCCAGAAGACTGTATCTGTTCCCAATTGTCACTTGTCAATGACCATAGAATTTTACCAGAGCAGACAAGCATCAAATCTTATGGGGGCAAAAAGCAGCTGTTAATACTTTGTCCGAGGAAGGGGCGTGAAGTTTGAAAGCCTTGGATAATTTGTCTTTGACTGTATAGTCATATTCAAGCTCTCTCTTTACTCCTCCTCCAAAGTCTTTGCAGCCACTGTTCTACTGAGCAGTGCTGGCTCTTTTTTTAATTGACAGAAATGGTTTCTTACTTATTTCTTTGTATGGGTGTTTTTGTCTACATGAATATCTGTACACTACATGCATACAATGCTATGAAGGCTGGAGAGGGTGTTTGATCCCCAGGGACTAGAGTTACAGGTACTTTTGAGTTACCACGTGGGTTCTGGGGCTTGCACCCGGGTCCTCTGAAAGAACAGCCAGTGTTCTTAACCACTGAGACATCTCTCCAACTCTGACAATGTCTCTATTAACTAGAGTTCAGCTTTTTTTTTTTTCGTTTTGACATCCTACAGGACCTGGCTTTCCTATGCACCAACCCAGCATTTGGCACTGTAGTCTGAACTGTAGTGGAAATACATTGCAAATAGACTGAGTATGTATTAAACTAATTGGGATAAAAGATTCTGGAGAATGCAATATTTGTGGCTTGAAGTCTTGTCAGGCCAAATTAAAATTATCATATTCTCTTTTGTTAAGATTTATTTGTGTGTGTGTGTGTGTGTGTGTGTGTGTGTGTATGTGTGTTGGTGCACAAGTGAGTGTGGGTGTCCATGGAGACCAGAAGAGGGCATCACTTTATCTAGAACTGGAGTGACAGGCAGTTGTGAGCCACCTGCCATGGACTGTGGAAACTGAACTCGGGTCCTCTGCAAGAGCAGAAAGTGCTCTTAGAGCTGAGCCATCCCTCCATCCTCTAGGAAGATAGGGCCAGTTAATGAATTCTGTATTTAGTTTTGAGGCTTCCATAGGCCTCAGATTTATCATATTCAACACCAGGGATAACACAAAGTACTGGAGTGGAGAGAGTATAAGAAATAGAACTAGACATGCATCCAGTGCAGATTAGTCCCTGAAAGGATCTTAATTTTAGTGAAATTCAAAGAGAGGAGTGGGTTTCTCTTTTTTTTGTAAGTGGCTTCTCTTTAAACACCTGGGGTCAGGGGTGTCTTGGAAGAGTTCTGATGAGTGACATTAAAATAAATGAAGTGTTTAAAGTTAACGGAAACTAAAGCCATTGTCTTTGAATAGCATAGACTTAGAATCATGATTAAATCTACCTCAGTGATTGCGCTCTTTGCCTTGGTTATTCCCAGAACCTTAGTTTCTGCAATATTCTCAGCCACCTGGGTGAAATGGAGGGAGGGAGTGGTTTGGAAGGAAGAACCACGAACTCCACCCAGACCCCAGAGTGGTGGAGCAAACGGACCCAAAGCGCTGTACGATGTTGTTAGCAGTTTCTACTCGTTTTCTTTTGCTGGATCCCATTTTGGCTTCAGGAGTTATATATGTCTGGGAAACTGACACTGCAAAGTTCTGCCTTGTTCCCTGCCCTGATGCTAAGGGAA